AGCCTTGGGACATGTAAGCCAACTCTATATCTATAAATAGGGTGTGGCAAGGCTTATTTTAAAGAGAGGAAAAATAGCCAGAGACAACCAAGAGTTTTGAGATTAGTTCTAGGGTTGCAAAAGTTCTGTAATCTCTATTATTAATCAAAGGAGCGGTGATTTCTCTACCTAGAGAAATCACAACTGGACGTAGGCAAAAGTTCTGCCGAACCAGTATAATTCTTGTGTGTTTCTAAGTGTTTTAATATTTGCTAGTTTAGTCTATTGCCGTTGGTTACATCAAAGAACAAGATCTAGAAGGCGAGTTATTTAACAAGTAGAAACTGCTCGTCACTTTTCATCCTGAGTAATAAGGGAAAAAGCTTTGTTGACTGCAGGAAATGGGTCCATCAGTAGGATTTGTCCTCGAACTCCAGTGTATACGTCATTTAATCCTATAAGGAATTTCATGGTCTTTTGGTGTTGGTGGAATTGGAACATCTTTTTGGCTGCTCCGCAGTTGCAAGATGGAAGAGAGCAAAGTGCATCTCTCGCATCCCATAAGCCCTTCAACTTGGTGTAATAGGCACCGATGGTCATGCTTCCTTGAACGCAGTCATGAATTTCTTGCTCAATATGAACAAGGTGCACACTATTAGCGTGAGAGAATCATTCCTTCATATCATTCCATATGTCGGACGCAACATCGTTATAAATGATGCTAGCACCAATATCCGGGGAGATGGAATTGAGGAGCCAGCTCTTGACGAGATTGTTACAAAGTGTCCACTGTTGGAGAGTTGTGGAAGAACCATGTAGAGGCTTCTTGAGGGTGTCATCGACGAAACCTTCTTTGTTTTTGGTGTTGAGCGTCATGAGCATGGAGCGACTCCAGGTTGGATAATTTTCGTCATTCAGGAGTTGTGTGACAAGAACAACCCCTGGTTGATCAGAGTGATGGAGATAGAGAGAATCATTAGGATCATCATATTTGGGTTGCTCAGGCTTGGCTGAGGCTTGAGAATCAATTTTGGGTTGCTCAGGCTTGGCTGAGGCTTGAGATGATTCGCTGTCGTTGATCACTATGGAGGTTAGCGAGAGGACAGGCTAGGGTTTGGGTTTGTGTAGGTAACCTTAGACTGCTGATACCATGAAAGAATTGATAATTCGTATGTATTGATGATAAAAATAGAATGAGGTACAGAATCTTTATACAAATACAATAGCCAATTAGGGTGCTGAAAACTAGCATAAATGAATCATTCCTTAATATACACGTCTACATAAAAAGAAGAAAATAAACTAAATATCTGTACAGATCAATGATTAATATTCAGAATCAATCACGTTGATTTAGTTGAGATTTTACGCTCCTCAACAAAAAAGGCCAGAGTTGAATTAGATGCCCAAGTTGGCCAAGAATGCTTAGTGAATGAACAAGACATCTCCAAACTACCTTACTTATAAAGTATCATCAACGAGACTCTCCGGTTGTATCCACCGGTCCCACTATTAGTACCACATTTTTCATCCGGCGATTGCACAATTGGAGGATTCGAAGTGTCACTTGGCACAACGGTGTTGGTAAATGCATGGGCCATGCAAAGAGACCATAAGTTGTGGGATAATCCGGAAAGCTTCAATCCGGAGAGATTTGAAAACGGTGAGGATTTGTCGCACAAATTCATTCCGTTTGGATTTGGAAGGAGGGCTTGCCCTGGAACGGGCATGGCGCAACGTGTGGTGAGCTTGACTTTGGGGCCGTTGATCCAATGCTTTGACTGGGAGAGAGTCACGAAGTAGTGGTTGACATGGTTGATACTAGATGTATGAATTGAAGGACACCTTTTGCTCATATTGTGGGGGCGAACGCAGCTGACTTCTTCTCCATTTATTGAGTTGGGATTGGGAGTGAAGTGATGCTTATGAGAACAGGGTGGTGAAGTTGGGCCAAAGGCTAATTGATGAGCACATGTTGTGAGGACCATAATTAAAATTTAATCTAATTCCGGGATTTAATAAAAGAAAACCACCTTATTTAAGGTTGTGTTTTTGGTCAAACTTTAATTAAGATTGATAACTCAATTCGTTAAAATTTAATTTATGAGAACATCTACAATCATGCTCTCTATGTTTTTTTTTTTTAATCTACATTTACAATCATGCTCTCTCTCTAAAATATATATTCAAGTATTATATTGATTTAGTACCACTCAAACTCACCAATTATTTTTCCGAAAAGAATAAATTTTCTTTGCCACCTTTTACGTTGGTTGCGTTGCGCATTAAGAAAAAGAAGAAAGCAATCTCATCTCGCGCCTAAAAAATAATTGATTACAGGTTAGGTGGCCTAAATATAATACTCTTTCTGTTCTTTTTCCTGTCGTCTACAAGTTTTCAACTTATCCATCGTTCTCATAATGACACATCAACTGAATATAATAACATTAACTATGGAAATGGATAAGAACAACCTACAACTCCTTTAAACAAAGAAGAACAAGAAAAACCAGTCCCAAAGTCGGTGCTTGAATTGAATTTCAAAGGAAATTTATTCATGAATGTGAAAGTTCCAAGCCTTCTCCTTATCAATGCAGAAATCTAATAAGAGCTCTCACTCCGATTTGGCTTTGAGGAGTTAACAAGGACCTGATCACAGAGCAGAAAACAGGGTACTTCTTGATTACATGTAAATTAATATGGTGATCTTCTCTTTAATTAATGACACAATAACAATGGTAATTAAGTAATTAACGATCTAAATCCATGCCTCATCTTCATCAGTCCGGGGAACCCAGTCATTTGTTGCAGGGTTGCTTCTGATCTTCATCAATCCCACTATGACATCATCATGGCTCTGAGCCAGCTGAAGATCCAACCCATCAAAGTCGCTTCCCCCTTCTCTTACGACCTTTATAAACCCACTTCCAGTCTGTCCATTTCAGTTCAATTTAAATCAAAACCAGACCCAATTAAATCGTTCAAAAACAGAGCACACATTAATTTTTTTTTTTTATAACTCAAAACTTTGAAAAAAAAAAGAAAAGAGAGAGATCAGAGAATTTAGAACCATGTGATGTTGCTTGTCAATGGAATTGAGTTCCTTGTAGTACTCTGTGTCCACAAACTCATCTTGTACTGTGGTAGCTCCCTCTGCTGATGAGAGTATAACAGGGGATTGAGATTGGAGAGAACGGAACTTGTCGAGCTCTGGAATGTTGGGTTGGTCAACGATGGAATAGTCAACTGGGTTTGGTGTTGATGATGATGATGAAGAATCGGGCTCGCTTCTATTTGGCTTGATGGGTCGCTTTGGGGCTGCAGAGTCGAACTGAGCTCTGATCTGGTTGGCGATCTTGAGCTGCTCATCAGCTTCCAACACCTCGTCGCTCCGGCTTGGCTTTGTTGCCGTCCTGTGCCCCACCATGATTAAAGTTTTTATCTTTTTCTTCTTTTAGTTTGTTTGAAATTGTTTGATGATGGTGCTCTGCTCTCTCGTGTGTTTATATAGTACAAAAGCAATGAAGTGAAGAATGGCAGGTGAAGTCGGAAGAAGCTGAAACTATGGGCCAATAACTGAGTCTGAAACCGCTTTGCTGAGAGAGATCGACCAGTTTCTGTGGATGGATGAATGGCGTGTGCTCTGAATCTGAGTGGGCCTGAAATTCTCACCTGGTATCTTTATCTCATATGGGCCCACTTTCTGTCTTCTCTGAAATCTGAGGCCCGAGTCTTCTTGGTTTGCCAACATAAACGACATGTCAATATGTCGTTTCTGCTCTATCTCTGTTTTTTCATTTCGGTTTCTTCCATCTCTGAAATCTGTAATCTTCTTCTTCTTCTTCTTGTTTCTTTAAGTGGGGTATGGATTGTTTGTGATAAAAGTTTTGAAATTTTTAAGAATGTATGGGATTTTGAGAGGTCATCTCTATGATTCAATTCTGAAACACCTTCCAGATATTTTAGGGAGCAAAAAGACTTGATTTGTATACTGGTTCAGCCCAGAGACAGCACCTTCGCTGATTCTTTCATGTAAAGTTAAGAAACATCTTACTTGATGATCATTATCTGGCTAAAGGTGCTGTCTTTGGGCTTGGCCAGCCTTTATTAACTCATCTCAGAGTCAGAGGAAGGAGGGTAAACTTGGCTGAATGGAAAAGGCTCTGGCAAAGAAAAGGGTAGCTTGAAAACGTCATCATCCTATGCTTGTTGGTAAGATTAACAATTAACCAAAGTTCATTGAGAATATTGGGTGAAGCAGCCCAGATGTGTTTACAGGCAATGAGACAAATGCTCCTCAGAGGCCTACTATGTGAGATGGTGTTTTGGGACTTAGAATATGCATTTGAGCCTTCAGCAAATTGACTAAACAGAGAGCCATACGAGGAAAAAGTGCAACAATTGCTTTGCTGGAGTTGGAATTACCCAGTTCTCAGCGTTTGCCTCTTATTGTAGTAGCTTCTCTCCTGCGGAAGATGATGTGCCCCTAAGGGCTGATGGTGATCCAATCACATTTTCCAGATAAGTATTCTCAAAATCAAGCTTTGGTACTAATTAATTCTAGATGGACACTGCTACTGCAATCACAGCTTGACGCATAAACCATCAAAAACACAAGAAGTAAAATCTCTATACACATAGCAAACTTTGACTGACAGGAAAGTCGAAGTTCCTACTTCTAGGAAAGGAGACTTTCCTAATAATTTCCATTCCGGATAATGTAAAACTGGCTTAAGTTGAAAGGCTTACTGTTTTGTTCTGTTGTGTTATGTTGGTTTGACGTTAGTATAGATTCATTGACTTTTATTCATGTAGGCACCTTGTTAGTATGAAAATAGTGTTGTCATTTCTTAGACTCTAGCATAGGTTGAAAATTAGTGTGTGAAGAACTGTTATTGGACGTGTTGACACAACTCATTTAACCCCATACATTCGAGACATGACTTAACCGATATGAGAAACTTGATTTCAGGTAAATCATGACATAATCATGCATTCATTATAGGATTCCTAGTTGGAGTTTTTTCACTCAAGTATTTTTATGTTAATCTTATTTTTAATAGGATTAGATTTTATCTCTTGAGATTACTTTCCTATTTGGACTCTATTTTGATTTAAGTTAAAATATTATCTTTGTTTGGTCTAATTAATTTGTTTGATGAGATATTGGTTCTCCATAAAAGAGTGGCTATTTTGGTGTCAATCACTTAGAGTCCATATTGGATCAAATATAATATTCATGATTGAATAGAATTTGTGGTCTCCTGTTTGGCATCATTACTTAGAACCATATAGGAAGTTTGGGTATGTGATTCACAAGGCATCTAAATCTTATATTCATGATAGGAAGTTTTGCATGGGCTGACGAATTGATGTAGGATTCTAAGTGAATCAAATATGATTAATGGCAAGTGATTGAGCACGTGGCTTGGTGCTATTCTCTTGCAAAAAGGAGATTGTGGTTTGTATAAGAAGATGTTGTGCTTCTTTGTGTGGCACAGTTTTCCTATAGTTTGTTTGAGCATCTAAAATTTCTAAGAAAGTTGATGTGCATATATTTGAGATAAATCATCAAGTGTTCCATGTTTACTTGGTGATGTATCAAACACTTTAATCATTCGTATTGCATTCATTTGCATTGATTGGTGACTCATACGGTTGAGGGCACCAAGACCGTGGTGGCGGTTTTCCTCCAGCAAGCGACCAGTATTGCATTCAACATAAGGGGTATCGAAGATCATCCCGTGACAGAAGTTGAGTTACGAAGAAGTCGGTAAACATTATCTAGAATGTGTCTAGGATAAGCCTGTGAGTACTTCTTGTAATCATTGTTCTATAATGAATTTGTGTTGGACTGAGAAGTCCCGTGGATTTTCCCCAGAGGTAGGGTTTTACCACGTAAAATAATTCTCTGCGTGTTTCTTTATTTTATGTTCAGCACGTCTCAGGATTGATAAGCCATATCAATCCTGCTACCAAAGTTTATTTTATTTATTTGATTATAATCTTTGTTGACGCTCAAAAATGGTTCGGCACTTTTGAGCCCAACTTAGTGATAAAGTATGATGGATGATGGGAGAAGGTGAGGACCTTCACCAAGTGTGTGAGGATTTGGGCAAGCGATAAATATACAGAAGACAAGATATACGTGGTTCACCCTTAATGAATGGGCTACATCCACAAAGAAGTATATTCTCATTATTATACTAATGTGTATTTACATTTGTACGTGGGGTTGGACCCAAATATAAAGGTAACAAGTAAGAAGCCCAACCCAGTGATCCCTTTCTAAGTGGAGAGTGGTCTCCTTTTATAGATGAGAGGGAGTCTACACATCTTGTAATATTCTAATGTGAGACTCTTTGCCTTGTTTAGATTTGCTTCTAGTTGCTTAGTCAAATATGGTATAAACAGAAGTCCTCTAAGTTCTCAAGTAAGGAGGTATTTCTTGGTTGAGGACTTGTAATTTTCAATGCACTGACTAAGCAATGTCTTAGTCTTCTTCCAAGTAGTGTGGTGTGGATGTTGCCGTTTGTTATAGCTCTTGGAGCTCTGAGTAGACTTTTCTGATGTTGCCGTTTGGTAATTTTATGTGGCCATTAAAGGGCTGCACTTAAATTACCGTTCGGTATCCCATGAATAAGCAGCATGCAAGCATGGTTCTTTGATTTCTGAGTTTAGAATTGGAAGCAAGCGTAGTTGTCTTTTGGTTTGAACAAGTGGTGCTTGGTGGATGGGGTGCCGAACGACACTTTGACTTTTCCATCCTAGATTTTTGAATTTCTTGAAATTGCCGTTTGGTAACCCAGTGGCTTATGGGTTACCTGCATATGCAATAATCCTCATGCAAAGTGGCCTTCATTTGCTTCTTTCTTCCGACATTACATATGCATGTGATATGCAATAACACCATGCAAGGTGACACATGCCTTTACGAATATTTGGAAGTCATGCAAAGTTGGATGCAGAATGACATGATAGCCTGTTGGATGACGGGGTGCCGAAGGCATTGCTCGAGCCTAATAATGACGGGGTGCCTAAGGCATCACTCGCGTCGAATAATGATAGGGTGTTGAAGGCATCGCTCTCGTCGAATGATGATGGGGTGCCGTAGGCACCACTTGCGCTGAATTATGGCGGGGTGCCGAAGGCATCTCTCGCACCTAATAATGACAGGGCACAAAGACATCGCTCTTGTCGAATAATGGCGGGGTGCTGAAGGTATCGCTCTCGTCGAATGATGGCGGGGTGCCGTGGGCATCACTTGCGCTGAATGATGGAGGGGTGCCGAAGGTATCGCTTGCGTCGAATAATGACGGGGTGCCGAAGGCATCGCTTGTGCCTAATAATGACAGGGTGCCAAAGGCATCTCTCGCGCCGAATGATGACAGGGTGCCGTAGGCGCCGAATGATGATAGGGTGCCGTAGGCACCACTCGAGCCGAATGATGGCGGGGTGCCGAAGGCATCACTCGCGCCTAATAATGACGGGGTGCGAAGACATCACTCTTGTCGAATAATGGCGGGTGCTGAAGGCCATTGCCGATGGCTAATAGTCTTGAGTTTTTTGCTTTTAGCGTATATGCCGATAATCTTTACCAATGACTATTGCCGATGGCTAATAATCTTGGGTTTTTTTTGTTGTGTTGGCATGAACGCCAAGTGCCACAGGTGGGCCTCCACTAGATTAGTGGTTACTACCGAAGACTTTAATAAGGCATGTAGTGCTTATTTTGGATGAACCCATGCATGTGCCCTTTTTTGATTTTGAGAGGTGGCTGGGGCCACTATTAACTCAATATGGCTCTGAGCAATGAAGCCCACATAATTCGGTCGTGGGTAGATGATTTTGACTACCGATAGGGCCCTTCAATTTTTGAGAATGTTGGGGTGTCGTTCGGCATAATGAGACTTGCAGATATTTATAGAGTCATCCATGTAATAGGCTCTTCTTATAATTCCAACAGGGTGATACTTTTGTAAGAAGGGTTATCGTGTGGTAGTGGTCTGTCCGTGCCTCTTGGCCCAATTGTCTGAACCTACCGAACGGTAATGGAGAGATGGAGAAGAGGTCACACAAGGACTGCCGAGTGCCGTTTGGCAATATTGATTTTCCAGCCGTGAATAATGAGTTCTCATCCTCTCTTGGGCATTGATGGGAAATCGCGGAAGTCCAAAGCTGTCAAGCACTGAATTGCCGAGCATTTTGACGTCGAGGCATTCTGTGGTGGCTTGGATGAGAAAACTCCATGGGGGTGCTGTGTTGTCGATTGGTAGATAGCCATTATGATGGCATGATGGAGCTTATGGCATAGAATGGATACCGGACAGCATGTCTTATTGTGCCATGCTTTCACATCTTGGGTTGCCGATTACGCACCCAGTTTTCTGATTGGATCCCATTATCCTAGACTTTTTGGCTTGTATTACCGTTTGGCGGGGCTACTTTGACCCTTCCCTAAGAAGGTGGACATGGATGTTTTGCGGACGGCAAGTTGCCGTTAACACCTTTCGAGCCGACATCAGATTGCTTTG